TCTTGGTTTACTGACCTACCTCCCAAAATCGTCACGTCGCAGTAAACCAACTTTGAACTCTCGACGTTATCTGGATCCAACCAGTACTTTTACTGCTGCTGTCTTTACCTTCACCTAATTTTATCTCTTGGCACGATAACGCCGGTAATTCAGGAATAGATCCTGAGGGGGCTACGATATAGACATGACTTCATTAATAGTTTAAGGGTAATAGAAGTTGCAAAACATGTTAGAGTTTAAAGTACATTTGTTCGAGCAAGATGAACAAGGAATAATAATAATAATAATAATAATAATAGTAATGATAATATTAACAAAGAGCTGTGAAGTGTAGCTGATATTGATGTAGTATAGAGAGCGAATTTTGTTTTAAGCTACTGGACCTATTTAATAACAAAGCAATCAGACACTTACTCTCGGATAGTGGCGGGTTTTTTACTAAAATATTCGCTGAGAAAGATTTGTATGTAAAATAAACTAGACCACATACATACATCTACTACAAACGCGTCCCATGTAAAAGCGTAAATCATCTGGCTGGAAATTCTCGGGCCTTGCTTCCTTAGTTCGGGTGTTCAATTCACAGGACTTTTCCCCAATTACATCACTGAAGCTTTGACATATCGTCTCCCTCTCGCAGGGGATATCGCACACATGAGGATCTGATACTAGGACCTTTTAAAGACGTATCCTTTGAGAGCCATACCAGGTACGCTAACTTTTGTCTTGCATGGATCTTTACCAATAGCGAAGTCCACAAATACAAAGAGGCCAGGTGTGTTAGGAAGCTTGAATTCCAGTCCATTCCACTAATGGTGAAATTAGAAAGTGTACTGACTTAGCCAAACCAGCAGAAAAAAAGTTATGACAGTAGATAGACAGACAGACAAACAAACATGAAGTTACGTAGGAATCAATTCTGAATCGACTTTATCTAAGCAATAAGAAGAGTACAACTTATTAGATTTAATTCAATTAATTGAAGGCCTTTTTTTTATTTCTCTAATTTTATGTTTGCAATGCAGCATAATAAACGTAAGTCAAGTATTGCTGCTCGACACAGAAAAACTTTTATTACGTTCTAACTCGCTACGCTCAAACAAACGCAAGTTATTTTCCCCTTTAATACTAGAAAGACATAACCACAACAGCTTGATGGCTGGTTGCTCAGGCATATCCAACTAACGCGAGACTTCACAAAATGAAAAAGTAGGGGATCTTACCACGAAAAAGCTGAGAATTACTACTGGACTTTAATTGTTTGAGCGCATTACCACCGATGCCTTTGACTTCTTTTCTTTTCCTCTGCACAGCACTCTTTGCATTGCGAAGCTTTTCTTCATCCTCTGAATCAGACGCGAGATCATGGGAGTCTTACTCTCAAACTACAAGCCAACCCTTTCTATTGGCAATCTTGATCAGCTTCTGACGCTCCTTGATTAGCTGCTTTCCTTCGGCGACTAACTTGATAACCTTGGATGAGTTTTCGACGCTGCCTTCAATTTGGGTCAAAATGCTATTCGAGTGCGAATTCAACTCGAACTGCTTTCTATTTCCCTTAAAGTTAATCGCAGAAGCTTTTTTTTTCCGATTTCGGCAGTTTCTTCCAACTGTTTGCCTTTTTCCTCTAATTGGGAAGTGATGCACCCCTTGAAAAGCTAGAGCACTTGGTTAATTAACTGAGAATTCGGTGTTTCAGGCTGCGAGGAGGATGAATTTAGACCGAATAAATCGGCTTCAGCGGCAGGAGACGTGGGATTTAGACCGGAAAAAAGGGCTGCGGAAACAAACGACGTGTAACCATCTTGTGGCGTAGTCATATCAATGTAGTATTACACCAGGAATGAATGAAGGATCGTCAGTGGAAAGCGAGAGCGAAAGGACGTGATAGTACTCTGTAACGCCTTAAATACTAAAATCTACCCAATCATAAAATCCTTAGAGATACGCTTAGCGGCGTGTCACAAAAACCAACGAATAACAAGCTATAAAGTTGTAAAAAAAAGTGCATATCAGCGGAGAATACATATGCTGAAATCATGGATAGGGAATGAGAAAAGTTAAATTATTCTTTCTTTTCATCGACTTTCTACAACTTTCTACGACTTCCTGTGGAAAACAAGGTTCTGGAACACTTTGTTTCTTTAATGTTGCGCAAGAGAGAATTCTTCAATGTGTCTGTTTTTAATTTAGTTTAATCAATACTCGAAAATGTCATATTCGACATTCATACCCTAATAGTGTGCAAGGAGTTTGTCACGCGCACATAGTTTGATGGCCTAGCCTAAATTCATCTTTTAAAAAGCTTCGATGTTTCCATAAGCACTCCATTTTGTATACCGTATGTACAGGGACGTTTCCCAAACATCAGCTCAGATCGTCATCCATAGAATATGTAGAATCCATGCGGTAAACTCCACCGGCCAGAAAGATAAATCGGTCAGTTCGTCTCTAGCGTAAATTGCAAACACAACTTAGCATATAATATTAACTAAAAATAAAATTTGAAACCTAACTCAGTGAGCATTTTTCTGATTTCATTCCATCTTTGAATATTTTTGTTGTAAATAAGGGCAATGGCATGAGATTAGCTTCTATTTTTCCCTGCTGAGGAGGAATGCGTGACATTCCTAGTTCAAGTAAAATGTCATGTCACGCATTGGAATTATTCACCTTAAACTCTTAACAGAATATTTTGCAAAGTACTCTAGGAATTTTTTCCTTTCGTTCTTTCCCAAGTTGTTATTATTCTCAAGTGTATGTATGTAATCACGCTGGTAGTGAACCGACCCATTCACCCATACCGTTGGCGGCCTTAAGTTTTCTGCAATTCTATTGGTGTAAATTACAGATCTATAGATTTTCCATATTTCCATTTCGAGAATTACAGAGAACCCCTCGCTACGATTCAGCAAGAAGTAAAACTACGGTTAAAAAGTGACATCAAAACAAGTGAGCCACGAGACTTCTGGAATGTTAGAAAAGTAATACGTCCACGCATTAAAATTTTTGTTAATGGAAACTTTCGCTGACTTGTTCGTAATTTCTCCTCCAACAGTTTTTTGCGGTCTTTGGCAGGAGAGGCAATTTTGATCTGCTTCATAGCTACAGCTTTCTTGCATAAATCAAACAGTTCTGCAGTTTTTTTCCTTGACCGCCACCACCTTACTCAATGCCTCTCTCGCCAAATTTTTTTTTTTACTCTCCCACTTTTGAAATTCGCTCAAAACTCTTTGCTCTATATACCTATGGAAGCGCCTTCGCATTTAGCCTCGTCCTTACGCCGTAATTTCGGTGCCAGAACCGCAAGAACACGGACGCAGCCTATTAAAAGTCAAAAGGGAAGCGGATGAAAGGTCTTTTCCCCGCGAGAAGAAAAAAAAATCGTTCAATCAATTTTTTGTTCATATGTAAGATTCCTTGAAAAGTTTGCTTTAAGCTTTTTTCTAATTTCGCTTAATCAAAGCAAAGATGGAAGTAATTCTCTTTTAGCATTAAGAGTTTATCTGTTGCAGATTAAGATAATTAGTTCATTTCGAAAGAAATTTAAACTTACAAGGTCCTTCGAATGAGGACATTTACTGGCGAATTTACTTCAATATCATTAAGTGACGATATTGTCACTAGTTCATGTGAGATGAATGTTGAAGTTACCAGTTCAGTAATTTTCCTTTCCACTGACGGAATATCTTTATAAAATAATTCAAATAGTACGTGCGCTCCATAGTAATAATAATAGTACGCGATTTGCCATAAAACCATTCTACATGAGCGTATGTAAACACGGTTTTCGTTCCTCTTTCATTAGTTATTTTATAAAAGAAATGTAAAATGGCTTCGCGTCGTGGTTTCCTACGCTTATCTCGTGTTCTCCCAACCTCCCGCGTGTTTACATTAGGCTATGTAAACACGGAAACCATTTTACATTTATTAATTCTAGTTCTTACAATAAAATTACATTGACGCTTTGCTTCAGAGCAAGAGTCGGCTTCCTTGCTGCAGTAGCGGGAGTTACACACTGGTACACCGAAGAAGTATTATACATTATAAGAGCCCCACGCAAGATGCCATGGATGGTACCAGTTTCAAATAAATTTCTTACAAGGAAATTTCGAGAAATCACTGAAATAACCAACCTGAATAAACCACTGATGATTTTAGATGAATCAAAGACAGTTAAAGACCTAAATGGTGGTTTACTCAGGTCCTTTAATAGCCAAAAACCTAAAAACGTTGTGACCCTCAATTTAGCAAACAGATAATAGAACAGTTAAAAAAAAAAAACACTTACAACAACAACAATAATGACGACAACAAAGCAAAAACAAGACTAGTAATGGAAATTTCATGAAGACGAAAGTAACAGCTCTTTCCTGGCCCCTTGGGTTGCCAATGCCGGGCAGCTTTATGAAAATATACTCACAGAGAATTCATGATCAAGAAAAAATTTATTAGCTTTAATAAGAGAGAAATGAAACGATAACAATGTTTTCATAAAATGGATAAGGAGAAAAATAATTATAGAAGATTTTACACTTCTAAATAAAACAATTGGAATTTCTGTTGTCGAGTTAAACACTTGTAAAAAAATTTTTGGTAGCTAGGTATTATTTTGTTTATTATATAAACAACATAGGCTTTTACTGACAATGAAAGTCGACTTTATTCATGAACAGTTAAAAAAATATGAATAAAATCGTGAAAAAAAATGTCTTTAAGTGTGCAGATAATGAGACTGTTAAACAAAGAAGAAAGCTTGTTTTGGTTTCTTCCGTTTTTAAAAAGGTTTGAACTTCACTGTCATGAAAGGTGAGTGAGTGTCAGCAGCAGATTGGCGATATCAAATAAACTCACACAAAAATGTAATTTTACACGTACGCAATCACGATTTTCCTCAAGGCTGGAAATCTTTGTAAAACACCGCAGTTTATATAAAAAAACAATGCAGCAGATCTTCACTAGCGTTAAAATGTACCGGTAGAAGTTTTTTTTCTTTACATTTAGTCTGTACTACAGTAGCGCCCTGGACATTTCGGTGGTGTAACAAAACGGTAAATGTAATAAGACCCACAGTTGATCACGGAGATGTCCAATATGAATCTGCAACAGCCATAGGGCAGCTGGGAAAAGCAGACCCTTCTGGAAATTTCACCGTCTTCCACTGAAGGATGATCGTCATTCAACCAGCCTGAAAGAACTGTATTACATCTATGCCGACGAATACATTTGTCTGGCATTCTTGTTCCTGCTGCTCCCACGAAACGATACCATCCCCAGAATCCACTGTCACATGACATTTCATTGAAGACTGTCACGTAAGAGCTCCTTCTGTCGGCATTACTCAGGACTTTGTAATTAACACATGGGTCGACTACAAGATTAAATGATAATTGCAAAAAGATTATTTTATAACTCTCATAATTATACCTTAGTTGTTTGAGTTCTTTGGAGAAAGCAGTGATTGCTAAGGCTCCATGAGTTCCTTGGAAAATATCACGCCCGTATTATGTAAAACAAACTGTAAAACTATTTCACAATTTTTAGTTCAATACATTTCGTTTTCGGATGATATTTGAGCAAACTAATGATAACTATTCTTAACATATTCAGGAGTGCAAGAAAAGTGTTGCGGACTACAAGTAGTGGTGCGGAAGGTATTTATATGATAGTTTGGTATTCTAACGGCATCAAAATAATTGCAATCGTACGTCAGTATTGTGAAGAAAACGTACTCAGTAAAGAAAAACAAAGTGTGATTTGCAACGAGCATAGAATATAGTAACTCGAGTTGCCCGTTAAGATTCTAGTAATTGCGGCTGAATGCTCTGTCAATGGAGTAGCAGGGAATCCGTTGGCGGGCAATGTCATTCTACATATAAGTTAAAATGATTGAAGTTTCCTTTCATGACCGTCTCCCAGGTATCTTTCCTTACCTGTACAGTTTCGGGAAGTATTAGTTCTGGCTAAGCTCGCATTCATGTCCCTGCATGGCTGAAAGGGTCTAACATAGTCACCCTTACAGGTACGATTGTAAGAGCCATTAGTGTTAATGCAGTCCACTTCCTTGTTTGGATCTTGACCATCGTTCCTGACTTCTTCTGTACCATGAAAGAGAAAAAACAGAAATATTGAAGACAACGAGAAAAAGTAAGATGTCTTTCGAATTATCGCCTTGGTCATGATAAACCTACGATCATACAGCTGTATCGTCACACAAAATATCTATGTGAACACAGTTATAAGCCTTTTCGCTGAACTATACTAGATTTTCCAAAGAATTAGGGACCAATCATTGTTCACCACTTGGAAGGGCAGGCGGGAGGAAGATTCTGGGGGGAGGGGGATAGCATGAGGGAATGGAGGGGTACCATTCATTACCAACAGAGTTTGAAGGGGGGGGGGAGTGACTACAGTAAATTGTCTGAGAACTGATAAACTTTTAGTGAAGAGGGGTGGGTGGGGGGGGGTTTGAAGATTCATAAGAATATTAAAGAGCCTTATGGCGGATGTAAGATCTAAATTGCTTACTAATTATTTTTTAATGGAATTTTGGATTTATTTATTTATTTATTTCCTTTTTTTCCCAGACCTCCTTTTAGTGTTTTTCGTTAAGTTTGTCATCATTTCCCTTCTTTACTTACACCTTATTTGTCTTATTTGTACGTTTTTGTTCTTCATACCCCACGTAGTTACACAATCCTCTTCTATTTTTATGCATCATTTTTCTAAGCCAGTTTACCTAAACTGGCCACCGTAATGAGTTCAAAAGCTGACTTTTCGAACGTTAACGTTAACCCTTCGTTAACCCCCTGGCGAGGGGCTAACGCTCGAAATGTAAGCTTTGTGGCCTATTTACGTTATCAACACTCCCCACCAACGCAGCACCACAGTTTCTGTAGAAACTTACCCCCCTTATTCAATTTACGTAAAGTCGCGTTTGGCGCAGTTCTCTTTCTAAAAGTTTTCTTTAATTTTTCGTTTCGTTTTGTATTTATTTTTGTTCGTAATTTATTTATCCTAGTTAACTTAACTTTTTATTTTACATGTTTTTAGTCTCAACCTGCTGCTGTGTGTTAGCTGTGAAAATAAAAACTCTGAGTGAAAAACATAACTCTTTTACTGTTCCAGGGGGTTCAAATCAATCTTGTATCGACCTTTGGGCGAAAAAAAAAAAAAAAAAAAAAAAAAAAAAAAAAAACGCGACAGAACTTAAACAAAACAGATCAAAAAAAATTCAAAATAATACAAAATAAAAGAACACGAAACACAATACAGAACCGAACAGCATAAAAACAATGGCCAAACAATGGGTTTGTTTGAAACTGGTCACCAAAAGAATCAGTTCTTCGTGGGTTTACTACCTTTTCGTCTACTTGAAAATTATTGGCCGACGGCAAAATGAATAAGATTATACAATAATGTTCACTGAGCTTGAGGCGAATCATTATTGTGGTATAATTGCGCAGAATCTTTCGAATTCTGTTGTAAATTCTGTAAATAAAGCTATTATTGCTATAATTGTGGTGATTATGCGTATCATTGTAAGCTTCTCTCTTTTAAAAAGTGTTCCGTCAAACTCAATAGCAAATTTTGTGCTCTTCGCAATTGTATTTTCTTCTAACACGTTTACCACTTCCGCAGAAACATTAACAAAACGCGAGGCAGCCACTTTGCAATTTAGTACCCCTGCTATAATTACCTCGTACGAGGTGATTACAGCGAGATATGACGCAAACCTCGACCGATCAGATGGCGCTAGCATATTATGCTGATACGTGACATTGTAACAGCGGTTTCGTAGATGACGTTATTTATCACACACTCAACATCAAGAGGACACAGGACCTTAATCAAGTAATCACTCTATTTTGGAACTGCTGATTAAGTTTCGTTGGATCCATTCACGACCTTTCGGTTTTTTTTTTTCCTTTAAATTTTTTTGGACTGTGATCTCCAGTTTTGTGTATAGCCGGAGCTTACTTTTTAGGTTATTCCTGCTGAAAATCTTTTGGAGTTGGGGCGATTTGTTAAAATGATTATCTATTGCAAATGTAATCCTATGAATTCGTGACATTTCTTTTAATTGTCCGTGCCGTAAGACGGATTAAGCCAGATAATATTTTTCTGATCTAGTTATGTGCTCATTAACTCTCTGATTCTGGGTTTTCAAGATTTAGACATTGCGTGCAGTCGAATTTGGGTGGCATATTCGTACAATCGTCAGTTTTGTGAATCCTTGGTTGTCCCAAGTTCTAGATAAGTTTATTTGTTCGGAGATTACCGAGGCCGAAACTTGCAAAGGGTGTTTGAGAAAGTGTCAATGAATTCGAACTATGGATGGCTGCCAGCGTTTCTAAATGGATTGTATCTGCAGGATGACAAACGCCAGAGACTATCCGTTTAGAAGAGTGGTCATTAATCTATAAAACGTCAATGGCTTTAAATCCAACCATCTTTCTTCCATCATTGATTTTTAAAAATTGCCCATAACGGCAAACATTTACCAGAAATCCTGAATCAAAGAATAACGTTGTAGATCTCTAGAACCAGTCACGCCATCCATTTAAGTCATTGTCTCCGCAGTTAAACACTTGGCATATCAAACATCGATTTATTAAGGTTGGACAATAAAGTTAGTGAGCATATCATTAATGATCTTATCCATTGTTCGAGGGGATCTTAAAAGCTGTTTTGGTAAGAAAACAAAGACTTGAGTGACTTGAAAGACCGACTTTAAGCCGAATATTTCAGCAGGAAAATCTAGAAGAATTGTACCGAGAAAAAAATAAAGTAAAAAAAAAAAAAAAAAAAAAAAAAGAAAAAGGAAAAAGAAGTGAAATGCAAAGCAGATGTCTCATTCCAATAATTTTCGAGGAAAAAGAAATGCTAGTCTACGAGACTAAACTCATCAAACTTTCGCGAATGCTGTCCATGTCTCGTATAACCCGGTCAGTGTTCTTTACCAAGTATTCTGTTTTCGTCTCTGCAGTCTGCACTCCCTTCTCTAGTTTCACTGAAATAACTGATACCAAATGTCGATCGATCGATAAATACTAGGGCTTCATAAGTAGTTTTGGGTTTCTGCAGAAAATTAATTGTTAAATTCTAACTTCCTAAGAAGTGGAAAAGAAAACGGTGCTGTGAAGTCTCGACCACTTTCTAACTATTTTGTACTTGTGCATCTGGTTCATCATGAATAACTTTAGAACGAAATCGCTAAGGCGCAAGATGAATCAATTATTACCTCTTAACTCGTTGTGGTCATGGCTTTGCGTAAGATGTTTTCCTACAAACACCACTGCGATAAGTACGGCAATGGACACTATGAGAGCAACAATGGTTATCAAACTTTTTCGACGGCACCTTGCGAGACAATTGATAGCTGCCGACACATGTCTGCCTCTGGTTTCTGATGGCTGTTCCCCTGGACCTTCACGTTTTGAATGAACACGATCGATAACGATTGTCTGTTTCTCTTTGGACGCCATATCTTTTTCTCTGCCATAAATGTTGGATTTACTTCTTTTTTATCGGAAATTTTAGCGACTTACTGTGCTTTAAAGCTGCTTAAGGGAATGAGGAAATATTTACCGAGAAAATCAATGCCGACATGGAGCGATTTAGACAATCTCACTCCACTAACGAGATCCAGCCTGGGTCAAGACCTCTTTTAAAGGCATGACTTTTTGTTATGTTTTTTTTTCCTTTTAATATGAAGGTCAAATTTTACTTGGTTTGTAATCACATGGTACAATCCAGGATTTACTGAAGATCGGTGTGCAAAAATGTCCGATGAGGCAGATAGTTTGGTGTTCGGAAAAGTTAATTTCGTATGTTTTATGGGGTCATTATTGGTTGTTTCGAGCCTTTGGACCAATCTCGGTTTTAAGTCATTATAACATCCACCATGTCCAATTATCAGAAATTGCGCTTGCTTACACGTTTTTCATTTCAGTTTAGGGACTCGATCGAACCACCCAAGCACTCTTGGATTATATCCACCTTCCCAGATTTCCAAGGGGTTAGTGACACGTTTGCCATAACATCTTGTGCAAGCAAAACTGAAATACTATTTCATCGTTAAATCATGATATCATTACAAAATTACTTAGATCCCACATGCTCTCTTATAGGTTAAATACTGATCGTTTACTGCATCGCTAAACCCGTGAAAAATTTGAACATACTGGGTTTGGTTTTATGTTTATTTCATAGAAACACGAGACTGCACTCCCCTTCGGATAACGAGCGTTATAACACATTTGAGATGTTGGAAGAATATGAGGAAAGCTTTTAATTCACTCGCCTCCGGCTCGTGATTAACATAATTTTTTCAAGTTCTCCCAACATCCTGCATGGGTTTTTACGCTGGTAAACCGATAGAAAGTGCGGTCTATTGCTTATACAAACAGCTAAGTGCAGGAAATAATCTTTGTTACGTAATTAGTTTATATCACAATTCCGTGAAGTGGATCAAACGTTGGAAAAATACACATCAGTATGGTGGCTTTCAAGAATTTTTTCTAAGTGTACATTTTTGCCACAAGGAAAAAAGGATACGACTAATCTGGGTGAAAATTTTTGCGTAACTTCTATAGTTAGAACGAGAATTAAATGCGAAGAAATCAAATATTCCTGCCAAAAATTAGCTTATTGTTATAATATTTTAAAAACGAAGAATTTATCCAATTGTTTTAATTATCCCTAGAGAGCTTTTAAGTTTTAATACTCTGTCGATTTTGGCACGGACACCCATACAGCGTGTCTTACCAGAGGAATCGAGCACTCTCCGATTCGTTTTAAGGTACCGCACCAAGTTGTTACTGTGCTAACTGATACGGTTTAGACAAGCGAACTTGACAAGTTCATTTATAAATGAATGTCAGTTTTTACAACCCTCATGGGTCAGCACAATGAAATTGACATACGTCCCAGCAGGAAATGTACACAATTCCCATTTCTAGTCTACAAAAGACAATATTACGACTGCGTATTCCTATGCTCTTCCGTGACGACACACTGAGATCATCGTTCGCAACACGCATGTCAGGTGGTCTTGTGACAGTTGTTGCACGCAGTCGTTTTCAAATAATCCAATGGCTGGTATATTGTTTTCAAAAGAGATTATATGTGGAAAGAATGGTTCTACTGTTTTCAATATTTTTTATGGTAGACCCCAAATATTTGTGGTTCAATGGAGCAAAAAACTGTCACATAGTAAACATCTCCAAGTGAGTTAAATGCTAAGGAAATTAAACAAAGCGTAATTGAAAGGTTCGCTGTACGCATTTACTTCGGCTAGCTTTGAGATCAATTAGTTTTAGCACATAAAGCTGTTTTCATGCTTCGCCGTTCTGGAAAGATGGATGGGAATGTAAGGTGCGATAAAATTTGGGCAAGGTATTTCAGCTCTGGAAACAGAAAGTTTACGAATAATTTGGTAAGTGGATTTTTTTCCTAGCTTACAGTATATCTGAAAATTGATACATCATCAAGAGAGCTTTCAAATTAATTTTCTTAAAAGTGTTACGATAAGGAAAAAACAACAACAACAACATCGGCGAAATCAAAAGTTAGCATGTGGAATAACTCACGCCATTTCAGCAGTAAAGGATATTGACTAGTCCTCAACAGCGGATGCACATTTTTGAGCAAAATAAATAAAAGGACAACCAAGGATTGAAGAACTCAACTGTAATGATAAAATGATGCATAGGGGCTACTTCAAGTACGTTCTGTGGTCACTGTAATAAACCTCAGTTTTATTGGTGTGAGCTAGCCATATTGGGTTCTTAATTACGTCACAGTTTGTTCTTGCGAATTCTTAAATGCTTAAAAGTTGTGAACGCCTATTTAACAGCATAACGTCTTTATCGATTGAAATTTAGCAGGTATCAAAAAAATACAATGGCTCGTAGAGGACATGCTAAATAAATTATCGCGCGATAAAATCAAATTTTGGCGCGATGAATGGAAATTATCGCGCGTTAAATGGATAGATTAGATGATCCACACTTGTTCTCAGACACTGACAGCCATCTCTGAAAGTGTCTTGTTAGATTCGCAAAATCAAGGTTTCCTGTATTGATTCATAGAACTGTGTGTCGAAGAAGTATTGCAAAGTACTGCTCAATGATCTTTTCTCGAAAATAAAACAAACTAGTAACCTCAAAGCATACCTCCTCAACCGTGGCAGCCATTGTCGCGTTAATTTTTCATTTATCGCGCGATAATTTATCATTTATCACGTGATAATGTTTGATTTATCGCGCGATAATTTCTCATTTATCACGCGATAGTTTGATTTTATTGCGCGATCAACAACAACAACAAAAAAAAAAAAAACACAAAAACAAAAACAAAAAAATACGGCATGTCCTCGATGGGCCATCTTAAAAAAATGACCGTGGCAGCCATTGCCATCCGCGGAAACAACGTGCGCGACAGCCCATCACGTGCGACCTAACAAGTTTTCTATTTTTCGCGCGAAAATTTCTCATTTATCACGCGATAGTTTGATTTTATCGCGCGATTAACGACAAAAACAAAACAAAACAAAACAAAGTGGGGCATGTCCTCCATGGACCATCGTAAAAAAATGAGCGCTTTTTTTGTTTTCTTCTGTTTTTCCTCATTCTTACTCGTTTCAAGGGCATTCTCCAACACACCACTAGTATACAAGGGGCGTGCTAATTACACAGAAACATCTTGGTATCTTGCAGCTTCCAAGGCCGTGATCACATCTAATTAACGGTCTGTGATCACGCTTTCCACTCGTGATTTTTGATCACAATTTGTGTGGCTACTGCCTCCTACAGGAGGCAAGGCCACATATTTTGTTTTCCTTTTTGATCACGCTATCATCACCGGCTTCCCAGGCCATGATCACATCTAATTATTAGTCTGTGATCTCGCTTTCCGCTCGTGAATTGTAATCGCAATTTGTATGGCTACTGCCTCCTATAGGAGGCGAAGCCACATGTTATTCTTTGTGATCACGCATCATCACAGGCATAGTCACGGCGTGAAATGTTATTCCCGTGATTACGCCTTTAACACTAATTTACCAATTAAATGTACCTTATCAACATTTGGAACCACGCACAACTCACTTATTTTGATCTAAAATTTAAAATAATCCCGTAGTGGTAGAGAGTTTAGACACGAAATAAAAGTCAAAAGAGATATCGAGGCCTACCAATCAATGAACGTCACGCTTCGCTGTGAAGAATAAACTCGGAATCGTGTACGCACTAAATGTAATGCAAGTTGGTGAACAGTTTTCCTTCAGTTCAGTGGCAAAAGTCTTGACTTATTCCAATTCCTCCATTATCTTTAGTTTATGATCATGATAGCCAATATTACTCATGTATGTCAATAGTGAAGAATATCGACCTTACATATTAATAACGAACTAGTAATAAAAGCATTCGCAGCGAACTGATCTGTTTCCAGACTTTGGAAAGTCGGCTTGGTTCATGCATCTGCTGGAAGTTTTATCATGCTTTTTTCCGCTATCAGATCTTTGCTACATCACATACACTGCATTTCATCTAACTTTCACTTTACGGCACTCAGTTGAGATTGCTCCTGGTAAGATAAATGTATTTGTTAAAAGTTGCACAATTTCTCTAAAACTTTATGATTGATTGTACTATTCTCCTCTATTTACACAGCTCAAGAAGCTGATCTACAAAATTCAGTTTCCTCTGAGAAGACCATCTATGATTTACGTTAATTTTTTTTTTAGGTTTATGAATAAATAGTGCTTATAGGTGTTTATCTCATTTGCTATGCGTTTAAATTTCTTCTCGGGCATGGAAGATAGGTATTTGACTGGGGAATCGTGTGCAACCTCTGACACTTAAACCTTACCTTAACCCTAACCCAAACTTCTCAACACTGGCATTTGGGATTTCTTTCACACGCCATAATTAGATTAATGGTTTTATAGGATTGGAACCAGGGCAATGTATTTCTTTCAAAACTCTTCACCCCAGAAACTTTTTCATTTTAGAGTGAACTGCACTAAAAACAGTTGAACTTTAATACCATACCTTACTGCCTCCCACTAGATAGTATTTTCACACTAGTCCTTACATAATCGTGTTTGTTTTGTTTTTAAAGCAACTATCAGACTGAACACATCATAAGTACTATCAAAGCGGCATCTAATTTTTAAAATAGACTGAAGCGAAAATTATCATACCGTGCTATATATTGCGTCCTGTATTGTAGCTTCTAACGTTTTGAGAACATAGTTTCGTCATATTTTCAGGTATCATGCTGATTGGTGTTCTTGCTTGTCTAGGATTTCAATATTTAAGCATTTTTCTTTTCTATTAGTATTATTATTTTGTTATTAGTTATTTAAGCAGTATTTATTATTTTTCATTATTTTTGCCAAAGAGATGCTTTTTAAATTGTGATTGTTAAAGCACATTTGATTGCAACAACAGGACATCATCAGCGTATAAAATCTATAGTCCCCATGAGGAATCGAACCTCAGACTTTCGGATTTGCGCT